GCTCATGTGCTCTCTCTCTCTCAAATAAATGAATAAAATCTTTAAAAAAAAAGAAAAAACCATAGATTACTACGTCCCAAGAATGATACTGAGGCTATAAATTTACAGTTCCATGTAGGCCAGTGTTTCTCAACCAGGGATAATTTCGCTGCCTCCCCTCCTCACTCCCAAGTATATTTGGCAATGGCTGGAGACATTTTTGGTTGTCCTGACTGGGGCTGGGGTGTACTATTGGCATCTGGCGGGTAGAGGCCGGGGATGCCGGTAAATATCCTGCCTTCAGATGCATGGGAAGATTTATCCAGCCCAAAATCATAGTGATAGGAGTCAGAAACCCTGATGGAGGGCAACTAATTTCTAGTTTTCTTTCTTTCTTTTTCATTTCCAGAGAATGAACCCCTAGCCCCCAGCAATTTCTTTGTCATCGTGGGCTTCTTTCCTCACACAGAAACCCAGTAAGAGTGTGGCGGGGCTGTGAGAGCCGTCATCCATCACTACGCGTTAAACCCAAGGTCTTTGTCCTTTCAATATATGAAAGCCAAATTATGTTATTGGGTGAATTTGTAGAATCAAAGGAAATGAATATAGTTCTTATGCAATAATCAAGTCATGTGGTCGCCTCTCTCTCTCTGAATCCCTTACAGACCATGGCTTACCTACTCTAATGGGAATGTTGATCAGTGCTAAGACACCCATGCTAGATAGCTCCTATTATTCCCAACTTACGGATGATAAAAGTGAGGCACAGAGTGGAAGTAAAGCACGGCACCCTCCCTTTGGTTTCTTATATTCCAAAGTTATCAAACGCCTGGCCTCAGCCATTGCACAGGTTGTGCACTGCACAACTGTGCCACTTTTAAAGGAGCACCATTCACAGGACAGACATAGATTTATTGTGACAGTTTTCTAGGCAGATGGCACGAAAGTGGCTTGTTCGAACAAAATCAGGACCATGAAGCAATTTTCTAATAGAAGTAAAGTTTCCTCAAGAAAGTACGCCTCTCCCTAAAGCTCATGAAAGTGCTAGATGGACCAGCAGCAAAGAAGGTGGTTATTGATGACTCTCTGTATGTTAGCAGTTCAGCTGGGAGCTGTGTGGGAAATAGAGTGCCTTGCGTGATGGAATAAATAGAACAATCTTGCTATCTAAATTTGGCTGTTCATACTTCTGTTATGGTTTAAGTCATCCTAAGCTTGGCTTGGAGGAGGAGACATTGACATGTATATCAGTTTATAAATTTGGCAGCAGGAGGTGCAAAGAGTGTCGTTTCAATTATGGATTGACCCATGATTGATTTAGCAATGTATGTCTCCTAGTGTGTGATCAATGCCAAGAAATGGCAGGTGCCGGACTCTTAGGAGAGTGAGGGCAAATGTTGGAGCATTGATCAGCTGACGCGCTCCATGTAGGCCCCATACAGGGAGCATCAAATCCAAGTAAAATACTGTAAGGTGGGAGTGATAGTATCCTATGTGTTAACAGAACCTGTCTGAGCTTTCATCCCTTGTGCCCTTGTGGCGACGTAACCATCTTTATAACACACGACACTACTCTCTGTTCCGACTTGGTTCTGAATCTCTAGTGTGTGCCATTTCATGGTGCTTTTAGGGGGGAAAGGCCTCACCGATTGCCTCAGTTGAGAAGTCTTTAATTTTTCCACCTATGCAAATACCTTGGCATTCACAGACTCTGGCTAAGCAAAAAAAAAAAAAAAGTCTCTTCTAATGCCTAGTAAATAGTCAAGTTTGGGTGGGAGGTGGGGTATCTAAAGGAATTGCAACCCTTGTTTCATAATTGGAAACAAGCCACTCTTCATAATTGGAGAGAGGTTGACAGACTGGCCTGGCCTGGCCCTGCGCCGGGTCGCATAGACTGAGTAGTTGCTTTCACCAGGGGTGGGGAGAGATGTGTGTGTAGTCGGTGAATGGAGAACAGGCTAGCCCTTGAGAAGGGGCTGTTCCGATGTGCAGATGATAAATGCCAGGCCAGGGTTGCTGCTGTGGCAGTGGAGGGCTTGGGGCAGAGGAGAAATTTGAGCTGGGCTGGGAAAGATGGTGTTGGGGGGTTGGGGGAGGATGTGAATAGCCCGTGGGCAGAGTTTGCATGGGGGAGAGTGGCCTTAAGTGAGAGCCTCAGGTCAATAAACAATAATTCCCTACAACGGAGCTCTTAGTGGAAAATAGGCAAGTCACAAGGGGATTTGGAATCAGGAAGGGTTTCAAAGTGTTACACAATGTTTCCAAGATTAAAATCTACAGTATGAGATAACTTGAGTATAATACTGTGTGTTCTTCGGCAAGTGGCATAATTCTTTGAGAAATACCTTTTGTCAAGAACGGATCTCTAAAATGAGGGCTCTGTGGATAGGAGCTCATCAGGTGAGAAACTTGAACTTTTCAAGATTCTTTAACCATCTGGCTGGCATGTTTAGAAATGGCACCCGACTGTACTGATAAAAGGGAGCTCTGTGTTCGTGGTTTACTCTAATACTCCAACTCTGGGTTGTTTTCAAAGGCAAGTTAAACAGATTTTTCATCCTAAGTAGGATGAGCACATGGCTGAGTTTGCCTGGGGAGTCCCGGATTATACAAAATTATTAATAGCTTGTCCTTTCAGTCTCAAAAGTGTCCTGGTTTTGGTGATAAATTATATGGCTACTCTAATTCTAAGTGATTCATTGTGGACTTCTTTTGCTTACTCTGCGAATCCTCAGTGACCAAAAGGGATGCTTCCACCTCAAGGATATTTGTCCACATGTGCATTCTGTGTTTTTGAAATGGTTGTATTTTTTCCCCTTGCATATAAAGTAATTTTTACAAAGCATTTGGAAGAAAAACAAGCAGCATAAGTGAGTTAACACAAACATAGAAATAAGTGTTAGTATTTGATAGAATATTATTCTGATATTCTATCTAACTATATCTATACCTATCTATCATATATTTACATATTTTTAGATCCCAATCTCCGAACTAAATGACTTTACTCAGAGGAGCATTCCATATATACATATATAGATATGGATACTACATAAAATTATATATTTAGAACTATATTACAACGTGGTCAACATAGATGAAATCACCCTTTTAAAATAATCACTTTTTAAAAAAGGATTTATTTATTTAAGAGAGAGCGCGCACATGTGGGGGGAGGGGCAGCGGGAGAGGGGGAGAGAATCTCAAGCAGACTCCACACTAAGCACGGAGCCCAGCACCGGTTTCGATTTCACAGCCATGAGATCACGACCTGAGCCGAAACCAAGAGTCAGGGATGCTTAACCGATTGCACCAGCCAGGTGCCCCCTTTAAATAACCACTTTTAAAGACTGCATTGTATCCTAGTAGTAAATGGCTGTTCTTAAAATATGATATATTTAAATCCTCAATTTGGGGCATTTAGGTTGTTTCTTTTATATATTTTATTAACAATGTTATAATAAATGTTTTCTATAGCTAAATCTTTTCTCACATTCATGGTTATTTGGGGTGCTTTCCTCTAAATGAAGTTGATAAGTCAAAGGGATATATGCATTTAAAATTTTGAATTTGTCAAACTTGGCCGGCGTGTGTGAAAATTCCCACTCCTTGCCTCATCTGTGGTGTATCTTTAATTCTTTTTTCATCTTTCAGCCTGACAGGAAAGAATTTCATCTCTTATTTATTTCAGTTGTATCTCTGATTATTGATGATTCTTATTTATTTTTTAATAAATTGCTCATTTTTCTATTAGTGTTCACCTTTCTCTTATTGAATTATGAAAGCTCTTTATATATTAAATAAAGTAAACCTTTGTGTTCTAGGTTGCAAGATTTTTTTCCTGATTTACTATTTGGCTTTTAATTTTATTTCTGGTGGATTTGTGTGTGCACACGTGTAGGTATGAATTCAGAAGATTTTTTATGCCATTACACCTATCAGTCTTTTCCTTTGTGGAGTTATATACTTTTTAATTTTTTAATTTTTTTTAAGATTTTATTTATTTATTTGACAGAGAGACACACAGTGAGAGGGGGAACACAAGCAGGGGGAGTGGGAGAGGGAGAAGCAGGCTTCCTGCTGAGCAG